GTCGAGATTTGAGGTTAAATAATGGAGAGTAACAGTAACTTTCACACAGTTTTAATAGTTAGGAGTTTTAAGAGTGGAAGTACAAACAACTTCCACAAATTTAAGTAAGTGTTTTAAGTAAAGTACTAAGCAGTAGAAATTTTAAACGTAAGGGCGTAGACTGACTCCAACTCACTCACTAGTTTGAAGAGGAAGGAGCTAGAGGAGCAGTTAGAGAGCAACAAGATCGAGGGAAGCTAGCTAGAGGAGGACGGTACGAGCGTCACAGAGGATGTCTTGTCATAGTTTCACACAAGCAGCAACACTTGAGACTAGTTAGTTATTATGTTTTATGATTATGACTATAGACTGGAGATCAAATTGAGTTTTTAAAGTTTGAGTTAAGTTTCCCACGTCTTAGGACGTTGCTTTGAACTACAACAAAAGTGCGTTTTCAGAAATTTATTTATGAATTTTTTCCAATTGCAGTTTAAGCTATGAGTGGTTTAATTGTCAAAGATATTTTGGTAAAATTAGTACCCGGCCGGGTTAGGGTGTTACATTTTGGTATAAGAGCCAGTCTTCCTATGTTCCTTGGTCTCCAAGGAATACTGGAATATCGGTCTCAGTTTTAAAGGTTTTTGTTTTTAAAGTAAAGGGAAAATGAGTCAAGGATCTTCTTTTAAGAGTCTATAGAATCTCCAGTCTATTCTAATCATATTAAGATAAATAACTTTAGTCCTAATAAAAGGGGTGCACCAATCTCAGGACCATTTGATGCAAAATATGTGCATATTCACGCTCAATCCTAACGTCCCTTTACCATGACGGTAATCTCTAAATGTTAGAGCTCACAAGATGGGTGTCGTTGCTAGCTTGTCTGAAGGTCTTAGACACGGGTTCAAATGATTGCCTAGGATCTTGGACATGGGGAAAATGCTTTTTGGGTGGTGACAAACATGACATGAGGTTCCACACCTTCAACCTAAAACCAACAAAACAAGGTTCTATGGTTTCGACAAGAACCTTCTTCTACAAGCAATGACCACTAGCTTTGGCCAAAAACCACACTTCCCTCCATTCCAAACACAACCAATCACCAAACCATGTCACACGTACTTTCTTTGCCACAATTGCTTTCAATTCTTTTAAGAACAAGAGTGAAGGAGGTAAACAATCATGTATGTGTTCTTAAGCTTGACTACTAAGAATTACATTTTTAGAGCACATCCAACATTTATTATATTTTTGATGGCCACTCTCTTTTCTTCTTTGCCCTCTTATTGATTTATTTTTCTCTTTTTTGTTTCTTTTTCTTTTCTTTACTCTTTTCTTTTAGGGCTATAGAGCGCTAAAAACATGCCACATTTTTTTAACTTAAGGAACAATGCTCACTTTTACGAACTATCTCCACACTCACTTGACATTCTTAGAAAAGCCATACACAAATCACTCACGTGGAACCTCATTTAAGCTCAAATGGTATGAATGGAGCTTCCAAACACAAGGGTGACTCGATAACGTTGTAGACATGAAGAAAGTAGGGTTGCTCTATCTAAATTAATCACGCTCAAGTAGCGTGAGCTACCTAACACGAGAACGACCCTTAGACACACGGCTCAAAAGGCTTGACTAAGGGATAACGAAATCGGTAAAAGTTAAATTTTTGGGCCGTGGACTAAACCTATGCATCCATCTTCCTCTCTATTGCACAAGAATGAAACGAACGACACAAGTCTCACATGGCTACCTAGCACAAGAACGACCCTTAGAAACACGGCTCAAAAGGCTTGACTAAGGGATAACAAAATCGGTAAAAGTTAAATTTTTGGGTCGTGGACTAAACCTATGCATCCATCTTCCTCTCTATCGCACAAGAATGAAACGAACGAAACAAGTCTCACATGGCTACCTAGGTGCTCAATCATTCTAATTCACCAAACTCAATGCATAAGCAACTGTGAAAAGCAAGTAATCGATTCAAAACAACTATCGGTTCACAAACACATGAGAAATGAACCTATGCACAAACCTAATACAAGTCTCAGTCATCATTATAGGAGCACACAATCACAAGAAAATCATCCATAGACAGTTCTAGTAATCACGAGATTCAAAGCAAATCACCACAAGTACCACTATGATCATGCAAATGTAGAAGTTGCAATGCTTGGAGGCCTCAAATTTTAAATTTTTGTGTATTCAACGAGGCTCCAAGCATTCATAATCACACCAATCATTCACTCACATGCATAATAGACTACCCCCCATACTTAAGCTTGACATTGCCCTCAATGGCGTAAAGTAAGAAGGTAGAACAATGTTACTAGGCACGATGTGAATGTTGGTGGTTGGGATCGGAGGTCGGGTAAGATTTGAGAGAGCTAGGCCATGTCCAAAACACCAACAAAAGCTCTCCAAAGGTCGTTTTATTGGAGCGCAAAGCAAACAAACCGATGGTAGATGTGTTGCACTTCTTTAACGTCGTGAGCCGGACGGTTGCTCCTCAATTTTCGGTCCACCCTAGAACCTCCTTGAAGTTGAGGTTCTCGTCCGGGAGGTGGTGTCTCAAGTCCCTAGCATTGGAAGAGTCCGTGATTGAGGGCTTGAGGACTTGATTTGCATTGAGGCACCACCCACGAGACATCTTCTTTTTCTCTCTTCTCTTTGCCCCACACCATGAAATGCATCATTGATTGACTTCCATCGCATCCCCCAAGAGGGATCGCCGATGGTTTGGCAGAGAGTCGCAAATGGGTCCTTCTCAAGTAGCCCGTCGAGGTTGGGTGGAAAGCTTTCATAGAACTTGTAACTTGTTGATGCTTCATCCACCTCGACCTCGTCCTCATCTTGGACGCCACTTGCTCCTTCAACTTTATCTTTAACCTCCCTTCCTTCTTCAAAATTCGATTCCTCCCAATGGGAACACTCAAGATCTTCCTCCTCTTCAATGCTCACTTCCTCCTCTTCAACCACTTCTTCCTCCTTCCCATTCATGTATTAAAGTACAGTTTGAAGGGAAAGATGCCATGCAAGATCATAGAAAGGATTCTCTTGCTCCTCCACACTCGTGACTTGGTCTTCAAAGTTGTTCTCAAGAAGGGTAAAGTGATGAGAGTCGTCAATGCAATCTTCTTGTTCATCCTCACCACGGGAGCTCTCCAGGGTGAGTTCTTCTTGCTCCACACGGTTGTCATTGATTGCTCCTTCAATCTCCTGTTTCTCCTCAAATGATGAGAGGCGATAGCTTGCACAAGCTCGTGTCACCTTCTCTTCAAGTGTCAAACCGGGTGGAGGGAGGGGTTGGAAATCCATGCTGGAGCCCATTCCTCCAAAGTTCTCATGGCTTGGCTCTTTGACCTCCTCTCTTCCTTCCAATAGTAGGAGGAGATTGTGAGAAAGTTGTGCACATGCTTGCTCAACAAGCCCTCCTAGCCTCTCCGTGTGTCGAAGGAGTTCCTCCGATTGCCGTAGGAAGGATGAGTCGATAGGGTTGGCGATTGGAAGATCCGAATTGGAGCATCCTTCGTTGGTACCCGGGCAAATTGCTCTACGATGAGCTCCAAGTTGCTCTTTGGCTCCGGTTGTGGAGTGACACATGGTCTTGAAGAATGCCCCATGAAAGTTTCCATGGCCAACCCCAACTTGGATTTCTCCTCGGTTGTGGAAGGAAATCTTCTTAGTATGGGGAGGCTTCTTGATAACCCCATTGGTATGTTTGTTCTTCTCGAAAGGGAGGTTGATCATAGAACCCGGTTCCTTGGCTTTCACCTTCTTGACTACTCCATGAAGCTCCGAGGTACCCCCATTCGGGTGGTTGTGGATACCCCCCACATGTTGTAGAAGCCATTGGGATCCATGATTCAACCTACAACGAAAAAAAACATAAAAAAAAAAATCAAACAAACACAAATCACCCTTCAAAGAGAAAAGCAAGTCAACAAACACCAGAGAAAACACAAAACAAAGACAAAACGTCTAAAGTAACGATCAAAGCCTTTTTCAAATAACCTTTAATGATTCCCCGGCAACGGTGCCAAAAACTTAACTCGTTCTAACTACAACATCTCGATCGACGACCAAGTATAACCGCCGACCGAGTGTAGCATAGGGCAAGAAAGCAATAAAAATTTATCGTACCAAGGGGATCTAGGCTTATCCTACTTCAGGTTTATGGTTCGTTATCTACCCAACCTAGGATAGTGATTAATACAACTAAACTAACTAACCTAGACTAACCACTAATCCTAGCTATTTACAAGGTAGGAAGCTCCCTTGGGTTGAATCCTCCTAGTTCCGTCATATGATCGATGTTGAGTACCATCCTAAATCAATCGACCCACTATCATATCATTAGGAGATGAACTCCCTCGGGACGGACCCGGAACGGTGTAGTGATGGATGTGTAGGAGCTCTATTCAACCTAGGCACCCCTATATCGTAGGAGATCGATCCAATCGACTCCCTCGGGGATTACCAGGATGATATGGGGTGAGGAGTTGTTTCCCTCCTAGGTCAAAAGCTCGATTGACTCAATTACACTACCGTTAGGAGATTGACTCTCTCATGAATGACCTGGAAAGGCGAATCGATGAATGTGGTAGGTTCTATTCAACCTAGGGCAACCCTATATCGTAGGAGATTGATGGAATCGACTCCCTCAGGGATTACCCAGACGATATAGGGTGAGGAGTGACCCGAAGTTGCCAATAATGGGCTCTAAGGTAGGGGTGGGCATCAGTTCGATTCGGTTTCGACCGAACCAAAATGCAGCATCCTGGGTCCCTGAAATGCCCCATATCCCAAATCGAATTCGAACCGAAATATAATTCGGTTCGGTTTGGCCGAACAGAGTTATATTTTGGTTTGAATCGGTTTTTCTACAAAACCCTAAATTCTAGAGCATTCACACACATTTACCCTTTTGATATGCTTTGTCGTCCCTTTCCTCCTGTAAAACATCATCCTCTGCTTCTTTACCTTTCTTTTCCCTATTTCTCTTCACACATCACTCTCTCCCTCTACCCAGCGAACAAGCTCTCCCATTTCTCCTCACTAATTACCACTCCATCTCCCTCAAATATGTTCTTCTCTTTTGGGTTGACGGCGCCAGCTGTGGAGGACCGACGAGATTTCCCTTTAGTCTCAGCGTGGGCGGTGACAGGTACACGAGGGGCTTGAGGCTGAAGCTGCGCCTTAGAGAGTGAAGGGGAAAAAACGATGATGATTGTAGAGATGGCTGCTGTCATCGCAGAGTTCATTGGCCAGATAGGAGCAGAGCATAGTAAGGCGGCAGATTGGAGGGATGGTAACAGTCGGGTTTGTTTAGAAGGAGGGAGGTTAGTATGGGTTCAGTTCAGATCCAAACATGCATGACATTTTTTGGTTTGTTTTTCTCCTTCGAGTTTCAGTAGCATTGATTAGTCTCTGCTGTCGATTCAGGAGGAGAAGAAACTAGCTCCGACGATGAATGAAGGAAAGGGGGCAAGGAAGCGAAGGCGGCGGCGACGAGGAGAATTTCGCAGATGCTGCGACGGCTAGTGGGTTTATATATCTTGTGGGAGAACTTATTAGATTGATGGAAGGCTGGAAGCTGCCGCCGGTGAGTACAAGGAGTAGGGTGATTGATGAAATTGGATTTAGGTTTAGCACTTAGCAAAATTGGGTGAGCTGTGAGTTGGAAAGGATTGGGCTTTGGATAGTTGGGCTATGGAATAGGTTTTAATATGTGGGCTTGGAGAATGGGCTGTAATTTTTGGGCTTAGGAAGCATATTTTGGTTTTTTCGGTTCGACATTCGGAATCTCGGTTCTGTCGAAAGAACCCTGGTTTCTGAATTAGACAAAACTCTGTTCCGAATTCTGAATCGAAGAACATTATTTTGGTTCGGTTCGGTTCGATTTGGGTTTACCGAACCGGATGCCCACCCCTACTCTAAGGGGATTTTCTCCCTCCTAGGTCAAAAGCTCAATCCATGAAAATGGAACCCAACTCATGTCATTCATGAAAACATCCATCAATTAAGTAAAATCATCAATCAAACATGGAATGTGTCACATACATCAACATTAAACCCAATCTAGACCTAGGGTTCTTAAACCAAGAGAAGACGGTGAGTTCTAGAGAGAGAAGAGAGAAATTACAAATTGGAGCCCAAGATCTTCTTCTTCTTCTAGGCTTGAATCCTTGTCTTCAAGATCAACCCAAGCCTCCAATTAAGCTCCAAGATCCCTGAAGCACTCTCTCTCTCTCTCTCTCTCTCTCTCTCACACACACACACACACACACACACACACACACACACACACACACACACACACACACACACACACACACACACACACACACACACACACACACACACAAGAACTCCCCTTTGGTGTTTTGGATTGAAACCCTAATGAGAAAATCGAATCCCTCTCCAAAAACCAGCTCTCCCCTTTTCCTTCAGCTCAAAGTCCTTTTTATACCCAGATCGGGCTCACTTCACGGCCGCGTTGATCAGTTCACGGTCTTAGATAGTGAGCTAACGACTTCACGGTCTGGCTTTCAGTTCACGGTCTTAAAGACCGTGAACTGACTTGATGCTAGTAACTTCCAAAACCGTTCTGGAAATTGGTCACTTCACGGTCTTAGAGACCGTGAACTGAAGCTCCAGCCCGTGAACACGGCTCAGCGCCTCAGCCTCCACTTTTTGGCATGTTTTGATCTCCAAATGACCCAAAACTCTTCTGGACCTTCCCACACGTGCTAGGACCTGAAATGTAACAAAACACGCACAACCTAACGTAAAATAGGCCGAGGTACGGTGATCTACTAAGCATAATAGATAAGAAATGAGGAGTAAAATGTGTATATTTGGACCCAAATTAATAGTCAGATGTGGAATAAAAAGAAACTAGAGGAATTCAAAATTATGGGGAAAGCGGAGCGGTGGCTTCTGTAATACATTGACTACCAGAATGCAAGAGAGGAGCATGAACCCAGACATGCACCTCGCTGGAAACCGCCAAAAATTGGTGATTACAAGATAAACGTCGATGTAGCGACATTTGCAGACTCTGGGACGAAACTAGGCGTGGTGGTTCGAGATCGAAATGGATTATTCTGTTTTGTGGGAGTAAGAAGGTCATGAATCCAATGGAATCTAGGATTGGTTGAGATTCAAGCTATAAAATTCGGTTTGGAAGTGGCAATGAAGGAAGGTTTTGTCTCGGGGTGATTGAATATGATTGCCTAAAAGCAGTTCAACAGATCGAGAGAGAAGAAATGTCACTGAAGGAGGAAGGAGTTGAATGTGAGGAGGTGAAGGAAATGCTGGAGAAGCTCAACGGATCAATGACCATCCAGTTTTTGGATCGGGGTAGCAACTTGGCGGCCCACATTATGACACATACCCATTGCAGATGGGATGAAACATAATTTTGGGCTTCTATGCCCCCATTTTCTTTATAAACCAATTGATTTTTGATTCCTATAATATTTTTCAATAATGAAATAATACAGGATTTTCTATAAAAAGAAAAAGCAAGCTGCCAATTTCTTTGACTTGGGTATTGTGTTAAAATTTGTCTCGACTAGTCTCATCCACATCCTACGGTAGCACATTGGTGTCAATCGAGCGGGTTCGGGTCGAGTTCAATCGGGTTTGGGTTCAAACGAGTTGCGGGTTAGTCGGGTTGCGGGACCATCGGGTTTGGGTTCATCGGGTTCGGGTTCAAAGTTGCGGGTTAGTCGGGTTCGGGTTCAATCGGGTTGCGGGCAAATCGGGTTTTGGGTTGGACGGGTTGCGGACGAATCAGGTTGCGAGTTGTTCGGGTCAGCGCATTGAGTAACTTACTGATTACTCGTTACCAACTTACACATTTTATTACACTAATTCAAAATATTTTTCTCAATTTTTTAACCAATTTCTTTCTACCTCATATATATGCTTAAAAAACTAGTCAAAATGTTGAATCAATTTGTATGACTTGCAAACTTGTTATGTAATTAATCATAATTGGTAAAGTACACTAGCTAATAGTAATGGTGATATCAACATTCGCAACCAAAAGACAACATTAATTGTTTATTTGATATTTTAATATTATTTCAGTAGTAATTGGATTAAAGTATCTCGTTTAGTATAGCCATGCAAATATGGTATTTGGTGTGTGGTATTCGGCAAAAGCAGAGTGACAAAAGGAGTTATTTCGAAATAACTCATTGCCCAAATAACTTCAGTAAACTGTTGACAAATAAGTTATTTGTAAAATTGTTTGAATTATCCTAAAAATTGAACTATTAAAAATTAACTATCAAATTTAGTAAAATTATTGTGACTTCAATCATAACTTACTCAATAACATATATCATATACACTTAGCCTTACCCTCAATCGACAATATTAAGTTAGTGTATGTTGTTGATCGTATACTCTAAACCATCAATACATTATACTCTAACATACCCTATACCATAACCATACATCCTTATGAGTTCTGATTTTGCTGGTATAGTTAATTTAAATGTGAAATTCATACTTTGATTTTCAAAACACAGATGAAAAATTAATATTTTGCTAATTGCTATACCCTAATCATATATCCTATACTCTACACCATATTCCCTAAACCCTAACCATGTACCTTAAACATAAATTAAAAAGGGATCTCCTGTCGTTAATGACTTCAAATGACTTCAAGTGAAAATATGTTAATAAAAAACTTAGAACCGTCAAAATCATCAATACCTTATACCCTAACCATATACTCCCTAAACCATCTGTACCTTATACCTTATACCCTAACCATATACTTTATACCCTAAACAACGAACCGTCAAAGATTACTTATCAAGTTTAGTATAATTGTTGGCTCATATTCACCTGCCCATAAACAATTTTGTTGTAACTAATGGTTAATTTGGTTATTAGCCCATAAAAAATTATATATATATATATATGCCTTCAAAGCATATAAGACACCATTAATTGTTTATTTGGTATTTTAGTATTATTTCAGTAGATTGGAATAAAGTATCTCGTTTGATAGAACCATGCAAATATGGTATTTGATGTGTAGTATTTGGCAAAAGCATAGTGGTAAAATGATTTATATAGAAATAACTCACAACCCAAATAACTTCAGCAAAATATTACCAAAATAGTTGTTTGTAAATTTGTTCGAATTACCCTAAATACTGAACCATTAAAGATTCACTATCAAATTTAGTTAAATTGTTTTGACTTCAATCATAACTTACTCAATAACATATACCATATACACTTAACCCTTACCCTCGACCGACAATATTAAGTTAGTATATGTTGTTGATCGTATACCCTAAACCATCAATACATTTTACACTAAGCATGTACCCTATACACTAATCACATACCCTATACCTTAACCATATATCCTAATGAGTTGTGATTTTGCTAATATAGTTAATTTAAAGTTAAGTTCAGGATTTGATTTTCAAAATATAGATAAAAAATGGATCTTTGTTACCGTAACCATATACCCTATACCCTAACCACGTACCCTAAACATAGATTAAAAAGGGATCTCTTGTCGTCAAAGACTTCAAATGACTTCAAGTGAACATATTACATATGTTAATAAAAAACTTGAACCGTCAAAATCATCAATACCTTATACACTAACCATACACACCCTAAACCATGTGTACCTTATACCCTCTACCCTAACCATATACTCTAACCCTAAACAACAAATCGTCAAAGATTACTTATAAAGTTCAGTAGAATAGTTGTGACTTCAATCATAACTCTACTCGATTCATATAAAAAAACATTACAACTCTACTTGATAACATATACCCTATACTCGGGTTGCGAGTTGTTCGGTTGAGTGTATCGAGTTAGTTACTTATGACTCGTTATTACAACTTATATATTTTTATTACACTAATTAAAACATTTTTTCAGAATTTTTAGCCAACTTGATGATGTTCAACGATGATTATATTAACTAGTGTCTGGTAGTTTTACGTTAGAAAATTGTGTCGTGTAGGGAACCGACATAATATTTAAACAAATCAATTTATATTCAAATAATTAAATTTGTTAAGGGAATGTGTGTCTTTTGACATGAACAAAAATGAAAAAAATCTCATCTTAAATCTAAAATAAATTATCACTCCCACCTTCATCTAAAAATTTCCCAATATTTAAGAGTTGGCTAAACTTTCTATTCATAAAAAATAAAAACGTGGCTAAATTTATTTTTGGTGGAAACGTGGCTAAATTTATAGTCAAGACTCAGGAGGGAAAATTCCCCCCCCCCCCCCCTATTCAACGAAAAAAAAAAACTGAACTTCTATTTAACGCCCTAAGTTTTTAAATAAATCGCCCTAAATTATACTAACGGACGATTTTGCCCCCAATTAAAAACATCGATCTCGTAATCGCCCTAGTCCCTAAACTGACAAGCCCCCGCCTCCCTCTGCTCATGCTCGCCTCCCCGTGCGCCGGCGCCGCCGTCTCCCTCTGCTCCTGCTCCCCTCCCCACGATCGGCCCCGCAGCCCTCTGCTTCCTTCGTCTGGCCAGCCAGACGACCGTCGCCGCTCTACTTCGCCCGCTGCTTCTTCTCTGGTTAGAGACGTGGTTTCGACCTGTGTCCAGCTCGTCGACGACGGGTTTTCAACCCGCCTCGTTGCCGAATTGAGCGGGTGGGGATGACGTCCATAGCCGGGGGAGCAGTGGTGGAGCACGTCCGGACACGACCTAGTCGGGTTTCTGCCTGGCTACGATCTGAATCAGGTTGCCGCCGACGAGAAAGACTGGGCATGTGTACATCGTTCTCCTTCCCCGTTAAGCTCAGTAGCACCAACGGCGGCGGGGGAACATCGTCGGCAATGTAAAGGGTTTGGGGTTGGCGGTGATTTGTTGATTTGGGGATTTAGGTTAGAATTGGGCTACGGGCAAAGGTGTCAGTTTTTCAAATTTAGGGCAAATTTTTTAAATATTTAGGGCTGTAAATATTAACTCCCAAAAAAAATGCCCCCTCTCTCAATCCCTGAATATTTGTCCATTAAAGTAGGACTTTCTTACGCAGTTGCAGAGAAATCTTCTGGAACTTCTCTCACTTTTCCTTTACCTCTACTTTCCCCTCTACCGTCTCCGCCGCTGCTGGTCTCTGTATCTCCATCATCATTTCATCTCCCGAACCACTCCTCTGCTCCGGAATCATCAATTGCAGCGTTGCAACACTGCGACCGAAGCATCCCTCAACTTTCCTTTCACCTTCTCGTTCCCTCTCCAGAGCTATACGCTACCTCCATTGTCTCCATCATCATTGCTCTTAGTTGGAATTTTTAGTGGTGTGAATGAAAATAAAAAGGGGAAAGTTTCAAGAGAGTCTCTTGAAGTACCATGTTGGTAAGATGTGGGAAGGCACGATCTCGAATTCGATCGATCTGATGTAATATGTGGTTAATCGGTTAAATTGGTTTGTGTACCAAACGGACCAAACCAAACCGAGTTGAACCAAATCGAACCGAACCGATGTGGCGGTTGGAATAACCAAACCGGTCCAACTACCATGGGCCGAACCGATGCAATGGTTCATTATTTCAAACATGAACCAATGTGTTGGTTGGGGTGTAACCACCCATATGAAGAGTCGCCTCCCTTCGTACGCACCCCTTCATTTTCTATAAATAGCACCTAACCCCCCTCTGGTTTTTATAGAGATTTTTCCGATACGAAATTCTACCAAAATCCAAAACTAGTTTTCTGCGTTCTTTTCAAAGAGAAAATAGAGTCAAGTGTGGTTCTCGCCGGTTCGTTGCGTTCGATGGTTTCCGGGGTTTGAGGTACCGCTACGCCGGAAAAGGTACGTCCTTTCTATCCTGGGAGGAATCATTCCATAACCTTGGGTACTTGAGGGGAATAAGATTCTTTGAGGAGAGATAGTGAATTCTATCAGCTAGGACGCTTGCATGTGTCTTTGCATGTTTTATTAATCTTATGTGTTTGCTTGTGTTGCAAGAAAATAGTATACGTGAACAATTTCCCCAACAATCTTAAAGAATCTTAATTTTGTTATTGTTCTCGTTTACTGTTTGGGGTAATCGAATATTTCCAGCACTAATTGCATAATCATGTTCTATCGTGCATTTGAATGATAAATTGCATGTGATTTAGCGGAATGGTCATAGTACTGGAAATGAATGCCATTTCATGCCATGGTTTGTGATTTGCCATGATTTATTAATCAGTGTAACCCTCCATGTATGCAAACATGGAACTGACCGTTTCAGTTGCAGTGTGCATCGTGTTGTTTCCGAAAGTTGCAATGGATGATTCTGAAACTGTATTTGATAGTTACTTTTTATGGAATTGGCATATATATTATAACATGTTCTTTTTGTGAATGGAAAGGAACTTTCTGTTCCTATTTGCATGAATGTATATATTTGTTTGCAATATATAGAGTGTGTATATATGTTTTCCTTTTCTTGTGTTTCTGCCGTTGGAGGAAAGAAAGAAAGGAAGAAACTTGGTTCTGTTGGAAATTTGGTTCCGACCGTGATATATACCTATATATATATTCGGATCCTGGACTGGAAATTAAGGAAGAAAGGAAGTCATGAAGCATGATGTAAATACGTCTTGGATTCATGGTTCTTGTATGCTTCAATGGTTGGGTTGGTTACCGGAGAAGGGAAAGAAGCACTCGGCTGTCATTTCCGAAGTTGGGTATTTACTCTGTCCCTTTTCGATTTTTTTTGGCATATAAGGAGGCACAAGGCCAAAGAAGGAAGAAACAAAGGGGAGAGAGAGGTTACCAAGGAGCAGAGGAGGAAGAAGCTACAATACTTCTAGTACAAGTGAGGCCTCTGTGATCATCCTGCAAGATAGGGAAAAGCTCATTCGGGGGTGTTTCTAGCTCATACATACCGTAGGTATAGACGAGACTGTGCTTCGAGAGCCAGTCCGCGAATCTATTCCCTTCTCTGTATATATGAACTAAATGCACCACCCAATCTTGAGCAATCTTCCGCCTAATAGCTGTAAGGAGAGCAGCACAAGGGTGAAGAGGGTCAGTCCTGTGGTTCACCAGTTGAATGGCCAATTGTGAATCAGTCTCTACAATGAGGGCTCTACATCCGTTGTTCCACGCCATTCAGAGCCCATGGTAGATAGCCCAGAGCTCTGCCATGGTTGCTGTACACGAGCCCAGGCTGGAGACGAAACCTCCTATCCAAGTGCTGCTGTCATCTCCCAACACTCCTCCCGCCCCAGCGATTCCCAGATTCTGGTTAGCAGCCCCATCAACGTTCAATTTCCGCCAGCCGGACGGTGGTGCCTTCCACCCAATTTCAGCATTAATTCGCATGGGGAGAGGGTTGGTCCGCCCAACTGTCAGCCTTGGAGCATTCCAGGCCCGAAACCACATCTCAGCTTTAATTCGTATAGTTTGCAACAAAGAAGGGGCCGACAAGGATTTGCTAATACCATTAAAAGTGCCCTCATTCTTGTTCTTCCAAATGCACCACAACGCCACACTAAAGAATACCTGCCAGGGGAGGTCCGCCACTGAAGCTTCTTCATTCATAATGTTCCTCTTCAGCCAAACATCCCATTGGCAGCTAAAAAACTCGTACTGTGAGTCTGTCCGGGTCAAGCGATTCCACAGATAAGCTGTCGGAGGGCAGTCCCTGAAGATGTGCAGACGAGATTTCGCTTGGGAGGGACATCGGTAGCAGGATTCATCCTGCGTTAAATGTCGTTTCCTCTTCTGTTCATTCAAACTAATTCTCCCCTGCGCTAGTAGCCAGATGAAGCACCGAATCCTCTCCGGAACCTGAAGTTGCGAAATCGCCTTCCACCATCGTTGCTCACTGCTGGAACCTGGAGGTTGCGGCATTTGAAAGGCGCTCTTGGTCGAGAACCGTCCATCAGAGGTCAAACTCCAAAAGTTAGTGTCTTCCTCTGTCCCTTTTCAATTTGAAGTCTTTCTAGAACATATGGCAAAAGTTGCATTGAATGATATATGTTATATATCCATATATTAGTTTGTTCGTATCTCCTAATAGAAAGAATGATTGGCATCTATGCCATATAATCTTTCTAGAAGGATGAGAGGAGCTGTCCATTCTATTTGGTCAGTACAGCCAAAGTGCCAATCCTCATACACGCTAACGTGTGTAATTGGCTGTTTGTGTGGTTGTGTGCAACTCGTTTAAGAAAGGGATGAAGTAGAACTAATCTTCTACGTGTTTGCTCTCTTGGTTTGAGTAATACAGTGGAAAGATTAACCAATTGGGTTTTGGTTAATGACTTCAAATACCTTTGTAGTATTTGAGATGAGAACGAAATCATAATCATATTGTGAGAAGGGTTCAAGTTTGAACTTGGAAGAATTCACGTTAAATTCTTGGAATAAATTTTGTCACAAAATTTGTATGTGTTTCAATTCCAAGAATTTGGAAGACACATCACTTTGGTTTGAGTAATCAATTTGTTTGTAATCTTCGAGTGAATTGAAACAATGATGAGAAGTGTTCCCAAGACATGGAGTTTAATCCATGATGATGCACTTATGTAAATAATATATTTACATATATCCTTATTTCCGAGGTGGAAAATTAGTTGGATAAAATCTTACGAGTTTGTTTGGTTCCAAAATTAACCACAGTTTTAATGCTTTTATTGCATTGGTCCATCTCAATTATGTGGCATGGATGAATGATAATTGTACCAATATAATTTGGACCATTTTTCATTCAAGGTGATTCATGAGAGGATGGAAGTACTTATGAAAGTCCTTCATGGACTCTAAGTAACGGTGGTTTGGATAGTAATAAACTATCTACTGGGAAACTCTGAACAATCATAGGTGTGTAAAACCTATGGCGCGTGGCAAGTGGGGACTTGTGAGTTAAGTCTATCTAAGCCAGAATGTTTGCATAGGTTATGTTCAAAGTAAGTTGAAATAGTTAAAAGAGTATACCTCCATTGTGTGGAGATGAAGTTTGGTAAATGCACGCCTAAAAGATTGCATTACGAGAAAGCTACAAGTGACAAGGAATTCTAGTTCCTATGATAGTTGTGAAGACATGATAATTTATTTATCATGTATGTGGTTTAGGACTTGATGTTTCCTATGCCATGAGGGCAAGGAAAATGAAGCTATGATTGATCCTTATAGGGATTTAATAAGTTTGCCAAATGATGGTTGTCATCAAGATAAGCATTAGTTCAGAATTGTTTATGGTATAATTACACTATACCATTGGAAAATAATTTGACTATGATTATCGACCTGGAGTTAGTTGCCAGAACTGTTTATGGTATATATAGATATATATCATTGGAAAACAATTTGGCGTGAGAGCTCAATTAATATGATCTTGTTTAACTTAAAGTCTGGATTACTTATGATATATTTATGAAGTTTATACCATTGGAAAGTAATTAGACAATTGAATTAGAAATTCGTTTGAATTACTTGTGGTATATCATGTTAAATAATGAAATGTAATTGGTAAGTAATTAGATGGGATTTCCATTACTGGAATGCATCTAAATTACTTATGACGTCTCAAGTTGCCTTGATCAATACCATTGGTAAGTAATTAGATGATATTTCTAATAAAATCTGAATTGTTTGTGGTATGCTAATAGAGTGAGATCATACCATTGGTAAACAATTATATACATATAGTGGTTGGCAAGTTCAATAAGTAAAACCATGGAAAATAAATGGTATTATTCCATGATGTTTGGCAAAGGGTAGAATTGTGGGGGAGAAGAGCTACCAATTGTTTCGAATACTATCTCAAGACCCTACAATAGGACGCAAACCTATCCATAAGACAAATTGGAAAGGTAAACAAAGTCATACTTGAAAGTATGAAGGTGTCCAATGAGAAAGGGAGAGTCCTTAAACCTTGTGGAGTTAACCTAGTCCAAGGGTATAACTTATGAGTAAACTCTAGCATATATTGACGTTATGTCAGAGAGCTAGAATATTTATTGATGTTGATGCACTCTTCCCAAAGAGATGATTTTGACCATATACATGAATGTATATGAACAACATTCCCCAAACCGGAAACGTTGGTTTCAACAACTATGACGAAATAGTTGAAATGTGGGGGGGGGGGGGGGGATAAATGGGGAAGAAGTGATGTGGAATGTCGCTTGGGTGATTCCAAAGTGAAGTGATGTGAATACTTAGGAGTTTTTCGTAAACCCTAAGCTAAGTCATAAATGTCATTTGAAGAGATACTTGTAAAGGTCAAGTAATCTAAGGTTAATGAAGTAGATAGGCTTCAACACCTTGATCATGTGTTAAGATTATTGCAAGGAAATAAAATCAAGGCAAGCTCACAAGATGTGTAGTGAATTGAAAAAAGAGACGAGTCTTTGGTGTATCGTACTCAAAGGGAACTCCCTGGATTAACCAAAAGGCAATCTATTAATGGATATGCATTTATGGTTGATGGGGAGCAGTATCTTGGAAAAAACGTCCAAGTTAAACTATGTATCCACTCTAAGACCGGTGAAGTTCTATAGTTTGGCCCGCAAAGAGTGGCGTTAATAAAGCGTACTTGTGCACAAAATTGTTATTGCAAGGGCTAAAAGTGTTATGTGAAAAAATCTCGTCATTGATAATGGAAACATAACACTAAGGTCAATTTCTAGCGAAGTTATCTAAGTTGATCATGTAGATCAAGTGATAACAAACGTGGGGCCCATCTAGAAATTAATTTAAGCATCGAAGGGAATGGACTCGTGGCCTAGGACAAATCATCATGGCGGTAACTCTACCTAAGCAGGATTGGCAGACCCAACCTCTAGGTTCAAGGAGAAAAAAAAGTTGTGAATGATGGTCCGACATTGTCAAATTATTCAAAGTCCATTCTCATGATGAGACAATGTCCAACTATAAGGGTAAACCTAAAGATGGAAGGTTTTTAATGGCTTCTAAGTTTGACACAGGATGTGATCAAATAGTGTATTTATTGGAATACACATTTTGAAATCACCTATGTGAGTGTGAAGTGGAGCCGCTTCAAGGAGAATAAAAGAAGGCCAGTTCTCTAAGCACTTATGAGACCAGGCGGTGTTCATGGCTAAAACGAACACAACAATGAAAACCAGTGAACGGATAAGAGTTAGTTGTGTGACATATATTATCTTAGTATACAAGCAAAACCGACGGTTCAAAGATATCACATCTACCGATTGGTGAGTTGATACGTGCTGAAGTTGTAACGATCGAGATCTCCCTTTCCTTGGCAGGAAGAAGCCAGTGTTCTATTTTCTTGGCTAGAACAACCAGGGTTTCTTTTGAATCTAAAATAATGCTTGCCTGTTATTTCCTCTCAACCCTCCTTAAGTACATCACGTTTGCAGAAGGAAAACAACTTGGAAAAGGGAAAAACAACCATTCCTATCTATGTGGAGCGAAACCCACGACCTGCTAACAACTACTCTCCACTTATTCTGTAATTCAAAAACAACCAACAAAGCTAACTACTTACTGACTCGTTCAACTAGACTACCGCAATTGCGGAAGTTGACTCAAGACTCTAGACACCTACAACGGCAAACTTGACAGGCAGTCCCATGTGCTGGCTATCCTGTGTAGTCGCGATAACGGTGGTTAGGTTGAGTAGTCCGAGCTGAATGGCGAACCAAGGGAATGCTCGTATCATTACCACCCCCTGAAGCAACGTCGTTGTCCTCAAGGCCAAGCTTAATGAAATGGTCATAAAATTCAGAAGCCAATTCCCAAGTAGCATCATCTGTGGGCAACGACCTCCATTGGACCAAGACTTCTTTGACAAAACACGCTCCACGACGAACCCAGCGTGTGTCGAGAATGGCTTCAGGCTGGAGCAAGAGACCGCCGTCATCATCCACAGGGGGAAGTTCAGGATTGGCAGTTGGGGAAGGGGATTGGCAGCGATGCAACAACGAGACGTGGAAGACCGGATGAATGCGGTTGACGGGGGGAAGACCGAGGCGGTAAGCTACAGGGCCAATACACTCAGTGATGATGTAGGGGCCATATTAGCGACAAGCTAACTTCTGGGATGCACGCCGAAAGACAGTATGCTAACGATAAGGGTGCAGCTTCAAGTAAACCCAATCGCCCACCAAAAAAGTGACCTCACGACGGTGCAAGTCGGCATTTTGTTTCATGCGATGATGCGCTACCCCCAGGTTGGCTTTGTGCTCATTGAGAGGATCATTGCGGTCGAGTAGTGCACGATCAACTTCATGGACTGAGGTAGATCCCGGACGATAGAAAGGAACGGCAGGAGGAAGGCGACAATACAAGGCTTGGAACGAAGTCATACCTGCCGAACAGTAGAAGCTGGTATTATACCAATACTCTGTCCATGGGAAAGAAGCCAACCATCGCTTGGGGTGCTGATGGGTAAAGCACCGGAGATATTGCTCGACGCAATGATTCACCACCTCTGTTTGGCCGTCACTTTGAGGATGGTAGGAAGAAGACATCTGCAGTGTCGTTCCGGACAGTCGGTGGAGTTCTTGCCAGAAGTTGCTCATGAAGAGTGGGTCACGATAACTGACTATTGAGCGAGGTGGCCCGTGCAGCCGGATGATACCAGCAACAAAGTGATCGGCCACTGTGCGAGCTGTGTAGATGGGAGAGTGCGATGAAGTGGCTGTACTTGGTCAAACGATCAACGACGACGAGGATGACAGTCTTCCCTCATGAACTCGGCAAACCATCAATAAAATCCATAGTTATATCTTCCCATACCTGATTCGGAATAGGTAGCGGCTGAAGGAGTCATTCCGGAGCAAGAGATTGAGCCTTAGCTCGTTGGCAAATGTCACACCCATTGACGAAACGCTTGACGTCCTGCAGCATGCCCGACCAGTAGAATTGAGAGGCGAGTCTCTTGTAGGTGCGTTCGATGCCCGAGTGGCCACCAACAGGCATGGCGTGGAATTCCCGGAAAGGGGAGTGGGGTGGAATCACCACATGGCGGCGGTAGAGAACCATGTCGTTGCAGATGGAAAATGGGCCAGGATTGGAAGACTTGGCCCTTGCTGCAACTCTCTTCATATAAGGATCAGTGAGAGTCGTATCCTTGGGGGAGTCCCACAAAGTTGTGTGGGAAATGGAGACTCCCATCAACACGGCTTCCGTTGGTCTTCGGCTGAGAGAATCAGCTGCGTGATTCTCTTTTCCAGGTTTGTAGGAGATTTCGTAATCAAAACCCAACAGTTTGGAGACCTAGTTTTGCTGTTCGGAGTTGTTATCCGCTGGCCTAAGGTGATTTAAGCTCTTCTGGTCGGTCCGAATGAAGAATTTGTGGCCCAATATGTATGGCCTCCAAGTCTGGACAGCGGGGACGATGGCGAGCATTTCTTTGGCATAGGTGGACAACGCTTGTTTGGACTTGCCGAGTGCCCAACTCATGTAGGCTATGGGATGATCATGTTGCATTAAGACAGCCCCAATTCCCACTCCCGACGCATCGGTTTCAATGACAAAGGGAGCCTCGAAGTTGGGCATTGCTAGGACCGGAGTTGTTGTGATTGTTGTCTTCGATTGCTGAAATGCATCCGCAACAACCGGTGTCCACTCAAATTGGCCTTTCTTCAAGAGATTAGTCAGAGGACGGGCAATGGAGCCATATCCCCGAACGAACTTACGATAGTAGCCGCTAAGTCCCAAAACCCCATGCAGCTCGGTGACGGTGGCTGGTGTTGGCCATTCGGTCATGGCTTGAATTTTGCGGGGATCGACCTTCACTCCTTGGGCTGTGATAATGTGACCGAGATACTCAATCTCTGGTAAGCCAAAGGCACACTTAGAAAACTTGACGAAGAACTTATGATGCCGGAGAGTTTGCAGGACTTGGCGCAAGTGTTCACGCTGGCTGTCCTTATCCGGACTGTAAACCAGGATGTCGTCGAAGAAGACTAGAACGAACTTGCGGAGCATGGGTCTGAATATGTCGTTCATAATAGCTTGAAAAGTAGAAGGGGCGTTACAAATTCCGAAAGGCATTACCAGGTATTCGTAATGACCATTGTGAGTGCGAAATGTCGTTTTGGGAACGTCAACTTCGTTCATCCGCACTTGGTGATAGCCTGCTCGCAAATCCAATTTTTTGAAGTAGGCTGCCCCGTGAAGTTCATCTAACATGTCATCAACGGTGGGAATGGGAAATTGATCCTTAATGGTTGCTGCATTCAAGGCCCGATAATCGGTACAGAACCGCTAGCATCCGTCCTTTTTCTTGACTAGCAGTACCAGGGAGGAATAGGGGCTCGTACTCAACTGAATCAGACCTGCCGCGAGCATCTTATTGACCTGTGTCTCAATTTCTTCCTTCTGGAAATAGGCATACCGATAGGGCCGAACATTAATCGCTTTTGTTCCCTCTTTCAAGTTGATGCGGTGGTCAATTTGGCGTCGAGGAGGCAGCTGTGATGGTTCCTCAAACAGGTCACCGAAGTCCCGTAAGAGGTCTTGGAGATCGTCCGGTACCCGTCGAAGAGGATCTTCCGACAGCGGAGGGATGCAAATGGCGCGAAGGTTGGGCTCCTCCTTTGTGAGACCCTTGACGGAAATGGCAGAGATGAGCGAGTCGGCGAAGGCCATTCCACTCAAATTCCATTTCCATTGACTTCCAATTACTCTGTATGGTGCGAAGCATCTCCAACCGTTGAACACCGAGGATGATGTCGAAACCAGTGAGTGGAATTGCAAAAAGAGTGACGGGGAATTGGATGCCTTGAATATTGAGGTTAATTCCCTCGTGTTTGCCGTTGCACTTAAGTGGAGCTCCACTGGCGACCTTGACGTTGAAAGCGGCGACGGAAGTCCCGGGAAGCTGCAGAGTTTCGGCGGCTTTGGCATGGAGAGAGATCTCGGCTGATTCGGCGGGGGCGAACATTTCCTCTTCCTCTTCCTCATCCAATAGCATCATCAACCTAGGCTTTCATAACGATGAGTTGGTGTAAACTTCTCGTCGCAATTAAAACAGAGACCTGTGGCGCGACGACAGTGCATTTCTTCATATGGTAGTCGCTTGCCACCCATCGGCGGTTGGACTCGATTGCATATTCCGGGTGCCGGTTCGGCAACGACTCGGGGGCGCGCAACGAAGGTGGTGTCAAAAGTGGATCTGGGTTTGGACAGGGGTGGCATCGTATAGTCCATAGCATATCGGAACGTCGGTCTTGGGGGACTGCTACGGCGGCTGAGCTGCTCGTCTCGGGCGTGGGCAAGATTGATGGCATCCTTCAAGGTTCTGGGATTAAAGATGCGGATTCTGTCGGCAACTGCCACCATTGATTCGCATCGCCTTCGAGATGGTAAGATGCTAGAGTCACCTTTTGGTCTTCTGGAATGGCTTGGAACTCGAAGAATTGTTCAACGCGGGAGAACCAGACGGTTGGATCTTCTCCGGCGTAGGTGGGGAACTCCAGGTGAGCAAGTTTAGCCCCAAAGAAGGGCCGGCAATCCTGATCATCATCATGTGTTGGTTGGGGTGTAACCACCCATATGAAGAGTCGCCTCCCTTCGTACGCACCCCTTCATTTTCTATAAATAGCACCTAACCCCCCTCTGGTTTTCATAGAGATTTTTCCGATACGAAAATTCTGCCAAAATCCAAAACTAGTTTTCTGCATTCTTTTCAAAGAGAAAATAGAGTCAAGTGTGGTTCTCGCCGGTTCGTTGCGTTCAATGGTTTTCGGGGTTTGAGGTACCGCTACGCTGGAAAAGGTACGTCCTTTCTATCCTGGGAGGAATCATTCCATAACCTTGGGTACTTCAGGGGAATAAGATTTTTTAAGGAGAGATAGTGAATTATATCGACTAAAACGCTTGCATGTGTCTTTGCATGTTTTCTTAATCTTATGTGTTTGCTTGTGTTGCAAGAAAATAGTTTCCCCAACAACTCTCTCTCCGTCTCCATCTTGTTGGCATCTCCCTGAACCGGGGATGATCCATTTGTCGCTGGCCCCTGTCTACTCTGTGTCCGGTTGCAAAACGTCACAAGTCATGGGTGATATCAATTTGGATTTTCTGTAATTTCCATCTGCATCAGGTCATTCAATTCTTTGAATAGGTTGCGAGGTTTGTTCCTAGAGCTGCTCCTTTCGCCAAACATATCTTATGAATGCTTCATTTTCCTATGTCTTCTCTAACTATTTGGATTTGTTTTTCTTCAGCCAATTGCGGATGCTAGAAGCAAAAAGAAATTCTTTTGGTGCTCAAACTTAAGAAGAATTAGTTTGATCCAAGGGTTGACATATGGGTCAAAGGCATATTTGGACATGATTTTGTAGCAAATGGTTATGAGCATCCTGCTGCATTCCCAACTCTGTTCTTTCATTTTATTGCTAAGTTATTGTACATTGTTTGTTGGGGCCTTACATTAATCTTGACTTCGTAGTAGAATGTTCAATTGACTTCTTGAAGTAATGTTACATGAGATGACTGTGATGGTTATAGTTTGCGTTGCCAGAGCTATTCAGATATATCGTCATTGTGAGTGATACTTCATATCGTCATTGTCTTACTGTTCCTTTATAGTTGGCGCTTAAGGTGCAATGTACTGAAAATCAAATGCATTTCCTCTGTTTGAATGAAGGTGATCTAAGCTTGATTACAGTTGCTGCCTCTTTTTTTGCATATCCAAAGAACGATGAGGGGATTTTCTTATTGAAGCTGCTGCTACTTCTCAAGGAGGTAGATGAATGAACTTCACATAGAGCTTCCATTTCTAGTTCCCTTAAGTTATGCTAGATTAATTTTGTAGATTTGCAGAGTAATCATTAATAATCGATGTACATTTGTTGATATAGACAATGACGGTTTCCATTTTAATATGTCAAATAGCTTTAGAGGCTTGTTGTTGTAAATGAATGTGTGTAGCAAATTCATTTGCATCATATTGTATTTTCTATCTCTTTTGGATGTATAATTGACCCATTTGTATTGTTTCATATTCTCAAAGTGTAATGTTTAACGCTACGACTACTATTACTTCGAGAATCAAATAAAAAGATCTTGAAGAGTTTGTTTAAAGATTTAATACGGTGTGTTATATGATATCAACTAAAGTTAATTTGTTTTTATCCAGGAAAAGAAATCATTTTAATTAAAATACATCGTTTTAAGTAAATTTTAGATTTTGAACATCACTTAGAGAAATAAAAAAAATAGTTTTGCTTTGGTTTAGAACCAAAAACTTCATTTGGAAGACTATATATTAATATATTATATAATATAGCAAATAATCGGATCAATCGGGTGGGTTGGGGGTTAGTTGGGTTCGGGTCAACCGGGTTGCGAGTTAGTCTGGTTCAGGTTCAATTGGGTTGCGGGTCAATCGAGTTCGGTTTAATTGGGTTGCTGGTCATTCGGGTTGCAGGTCAATCGGGTTACGGGTCGAGCGGGTTACGGGTCATTGACTTTTAGTCAGTTCAGGTTATGATAGGGTTATGGATCAGGTTAAACGGGCGAATTGCTCGGGTCGGGTTCTGTTTTGACACCTATAGCACAAAGACGGAAAATTTCCACGGTCAGTAACTAAAATACCCCAAATGACATGAACAAAAAAAAAAAAAAAACCCCAAATGACAGAATCTTTTCGTATAAGCCCACAAATGAATAATGGCAGGGCTAAGGCCCATCTGGAACAAAACCGACTTCAACCCTAATAATATAAACTCCCGCGAAGCCCTAATTTCGTATTGCTCGGCCTTCGCTCCGTCTCGTCTTCACGCGGCGGCTCACCGGTTCCCAGTTCCCGGCGCAGACAGCAGGAGGGAGCTAGCACCAGCAGAAAGCAGCAGCCATGGGTCGCGTCCGAACTAAAACGGTGAAGAAATCCTCTCGCCAGGTCATCGAGCGCTACTACTCCAAAATGACGCTCGATTTCCACACCAACAAGAAGATCCTGGAGGAAGTCGCAATCATCCCTTCCAAGCGCCTCCGCAATAAGATCGCCGGATTCTCCACCCACCTCATGAAGCGGATCCAGAAGGGCCCCGTTCGCGGGATCTCACTCAAGCTCCAGGAGGAAGAGCGCGAGCGCCGCATGGACTTCGTCCCCGAGCAGTCCGCCATCAACGTCGAGGCTATTAAGATCGATAAGGAGACCAGAGATATGATTGACGCTCTAGGGTTGGGCGATATGCAGGGCCTTGAAACCATCGATCCTGTCGCGGCTTCCACTGCCGGGTTCGGGTTTGGAAGAGGCGGCGGCGGCCGTGGGAGGTACTGAAGATTCTTAATGATATAGTGAAGGAGCAGTTGCTTTTTGTTATTTTATTTTGTGATCTAGCTTTCTTAATTAGTTGAGTGTTTTCTAGAACTGCCGTTTCGATTGCCATACTGATAGGTTTTTGGATGAATTGGAGAGGAAAAGGGTGTCCTTGTTCTTTACGTTTCAATGGTTTATGCTTAAATTTCCCAAGGTTTGGCATTTTGTATGAATTTATGGCTAGAGATCAGTTTGCGGTTGCTAATGCATTACCTGATATCAGTCGATGCTTTGAATTAGGGCGTCAAATTAAAGTGGAATATGTGGCTGTGTAGTGAAGAATCCGTAGTCCGATGTGTTTGCTCATATGGTGTCTTTCTACCTTCCAGTTTCCTTTCTGGATTATGGATGCAGAATGCATCTTGTTTCCAGTTGAGAGCTATTAGCTGTAAGCTTGCTTGAGGTTTCTAGACACAGGCATTTGAGCGTAATGCAGGATTGGTAGTTGTATGCGAATGTTGACGACACCCCTGCATCTCGCGGTGCAAGCTTTGTGCCGATGATAGAAGCTGATTCTTAGGAGTATTTGGACAATGCATGCTGAACTCACATCAATGATTCTTAGGATTCTGCTGATAACACACTGCAAATGCAGATCAGGCTATAGATGGGTTGTCCTCGCTCGATGCAAAATGGTAATCTATCGTGTATCGACATAAGTTGCTGTGATTGGTGTAATTACAAAACTTGTTTCCATGTCGAAAAATGCAACTCTTTAAATGGAACACACCCGCCACAATCCATGATCGAGGCAGCAGTGTCTTGTCGTGTCAAACTGCCAGGCAATAGTGCATTTGGAGCTGCTGCTGTTGTTGTCTTGAAATATGTCCCCTCTCTCCAGTAGAATTTGGTGCTGGTTGCTAGTTGGGTTCTTAGTTGCTCGAATTAGCAATTCCAACCATGTTGAGCATGTGGCGATCTTCTTTAAACCTCTCCAGCACAGTACCTCTTGGACCATCTTTCTTTTCCTGCTCTCTTTTACTCTGAACAACTCCCCAGCATTCGACTACTTCTGGGACAATCCGACTAGTCTTGGAAAGGCATGGGCTGCCGAATGTTGTGCAGCTGAAGGTATGCCCTGAATCGAAGTTTGCCGACAAGAAGAGCCCCAAGTGATTCACCTTTCCACCAAAACCAATCCCATTTGGGATGCTCTCTGAGCTGAAGTTCACCGCACACTGCCAATCCGTGAAGAGAGGATGAAGTGAAATTAAAGTGCTAGATTGGTTTTAACTGCTTGTAGTAAAAAGGGAGATGTATACCCATTGAACATTCGTGTTTGCTCCAGTTGGCTTGAACAGCGAAGCCTTGGGATGGAGCTGGAACAGGAACGACTTCATATCGCCATAAAAGTCGCCATGCCTCTCCCACGGTTGAGAGGCGTATCCCCCATAGATGTACCCTTCTTTATCCTTCATAACTAATACAGTTGGTCCCTCACCATTCCTGCAGGTTCCATCCAAGCGCGTAGGAAACATAAAAAAGACGAAGCTCTAAATTAATCGTCCGGGCAAATGCCATGAGACCGACTACTCACGAGATGCTGCTGACAAAAGTGTTGTAACTTAGACCGTTCACAGTACTGTGGTACAGAAGTCTCCACTCTTCCAGCTCGTGCTGTGGAAGTGCCCCTCCTATATGCCACGCATATTCTTTCCTTAGTAAGATCATATTGGAATTGACCTCTTCTCCGAATATTAGTTCAGGAACTTGAGAACCAGGCCTTCCTACAAAAGAACACAGATGTTGAAGGAGTCAGAATCTTGTAGGAAACCTAATGCAATGTAGACGAAAAGATGGAAAGAAAGCAAGAGCAGCAGGAGCACCAGCATCAGGCGGTATCAGTAAGCTCCCAAGGAACTTCCTGATTGATGGAACGAGAGCAGACCAACTTCTAAAATCCGCAAGAGACATGGCCTTTCCGGAAGCACCATTCGCTTCCTTAGAGAAAGTTGCAGCATCGAGAAACGCATTGACAGTCTCCTGACCATGTTCAGAACCTTCTGTACCAAAAATACCGAGCAGAACTGCAACTAGAGCAGATTCTAGATCCGACCTGGTTTTTCAAATGATCCAAAAGAAGGAGAATAGAATGGATGATGAAGCATTTAGAGGGTGCAAGAATATGATCAAACTCCCCCACCATATTTAAGCTATACATTGTTCAGCATTGCTATGCTTGTAGTAAGTAGAGAAGAAACTCTACCTATCGACAACTCCGTCTCCATTGACGTCGAGCAACTGATAGATGAACTCTTCAATTTCATCTTTACTCCCCTTCTCGTAAACACTCTGCAGCAGAAGATCACCACTTCAGCAACAAAGTGCACGAAGAAAAAAAAAAGAGCTGAAAAATGAAGCCTTTTTACCTTGGCAATAACGAGATCTTCGAACTTAATTCTGCCATCTTTCCTTGGTTGGGTAATTAAATCGAACAGCTTCTGGCCAAGAGCACCCTTCAACCCAAAATATTCCTTATAACACCAGGAATTCAAGTTTCAGCACTTCGAAATGGGAAATTAACAGTTCTCAATCGAAGAAGCAGGGAAAAGGGTGGAGCAGAAATGAGGGGAACTCACCTGGAAAACCGAGGGGGAGATGTGATCGCCGTTGCTGCTGGATTTCGCAGCTAGAGAAGCGAACAGCGACTTTAGGTGGTCCAATTCGGTATGGGTGAAAGCTCTGCGGTTCCAAATTTGGATCAGTTCTCTGTTTGAGATTGTGAACAAAAGAGAACTACTTTGGTTTACAGAGAAAGCGCTAACCTAGTGGCTGAAGCATAGCGACGATCGGCGGCCGCGGGCGGTGACTGAGAGTTTCCCATGGCTGTTCCTTTCCTTTCCCCGTGGTTCTGGAATATTGATCTTCTTTTCTCTCCACTCCTTTTCTTAATTGGTTAATGGCTGTTCAGCGTTAATCAGAACTCTTAAGCTTCCATTAAAATGATAAATACTCCATCTGGACTTGGAAGTGAAAACCCACCACCGACGGGTATCAAAATGTAATTTCAACCGCGACGGGCGATAGTTGACCTAAGTTTCTGGATCGCGGCGGTAAAATTCCAAATTTCTGCGCCATAGTTTGGTGGAGGAGCTCCGACCAACAGACAGACACGGACAACTGTCGAGAATTATTAGCGTGCTAATTTTGTTCGCCGGTGAAACATTGGCTGTTGGGCGGTGGGCGAAAAATGCCGAGACCGTGGATCGTGGTTCTACTCTTCTTATTCATCGTATCAACGTCGCAGCTGGAGTGGGCGCAGCTGCTTGGAAACGAAATCGAACCGATTTCTAAGGGTTCTTCTGAGAAGGAAGACTGGAAATCTAGAGCGAAGGAAGCTGTCAAAGAAAAGGTTGGAAATTTCATTTCGCTGAAACCCCGTTCAATCTTGTTTGTTAGTTCCCCGATTAGTCCGAGTAGAAGAAATAGGTAAGCTGTTTGAGGGATTGTGAAGCCATGTTTTCCAGTCATCCCATTTAGATCCAGGAGCGATTCTCGCCACTAAAGATTGGAACTTTACGTGCATGTACAGGTAGAGGAATTTACTAAACTTGGGAAGCTAAGATGGGGGAGTTGGTCATGTTGTCGTAGTATATCTATTGAACTAGTGACAACAAGTGCCCCAGGGGGAATTACTTTAGTTGCATATACAGCCTTTCTAATTCTGATGTGAGAAGGTGGGAGTGAAGAACTGGAACACTTTCTGCTGCATCCTATCTTTCCTTTTGTTGGTTTGTTGTGTTCTCATCTTGTTTCTTCTTGTTGTTTGTTTAACGACTGAGCTTATTCTTCTCCTGATTGTGCTGTAGGAGTTCTAAAATTTGCTAAGTATCTGTTATTTAAAATGTTGTGCTGCAGATTATCCTATCTCAAGAAAAGAATATCCAGGAGCTGAATGAGCTCGTACAGAATCTTCAGGAACAGTTGCTACAATGCAAAAGTGCAAAATTTGTTGTGAATGATACAGTAGCAATCGAATTGGCTGAGCAAAGAAACCAGCTTGATCAGGAATCCGTGTCTTCCGACTAGACGTTTGTATACTCACATTCACATCAATGTACTGGTATGTGTATTCAGATGTATCATTCACCAATTACACTTTTTGGTGAGATAGTTTCCTCATACTTTGGAGAAACCTGTAAATTTCAAATGTGGGGCCAAATTTGTCCTTTGAGTATGTACTATGGATGGCTGGCTAATCCATATATGCTACATGACTGTGTTACCTGGTTAGTTGTTTGCTGATGTGCTGCAATAACCAATCTTCAATCATTCAAAGTGGTCTGAAATCTTAATGAAAGATGGATTCCGATGGAAGTTGTTCTTTGGAAGTGCCATTTGAAGGAAGAAACTTTTACTTATGTTGACCTTAAACCTGAAAACTCAGCTTGTAAGTAGCCGGCCATGATCCTGATAATGAACTTCACATAATCTGCTGCTCAAGTTTTCAGAATCATCCATTTTTGTGCGTCATTTACTGCACCATCTTGGTATCCCAATAAATAGTAACTGTGGCTCTACCTACCAGTTTACTTTTCTCTTAAATTGCAAATTTATGACTTTGTGCAGATGCATTTAGTTAGAGGAGACTAACGTGTTTTAATGGTTGTATTGCTGTTTCTGGATGCCTTATTGTTCACTGCAGTTCTCACTATTTGATGCTTCTCTTTAGCTCTTATTTCCCCCTAGCTTCCTTCTTTCCACTGTCTTCCCTGAAAAGGATTAATATTTATTGTTGCATCATGTATTGTTGGTTGCAGTTTCATACCATTCTTATTATGATTAAGAAGAGGGTCCCAGAGCTTTACTCGCTTCCTTAAGTGACTGTACTGTTATTGTTTGTTTTTTTATATCCATACATCTACTTTGAATAAGCCTAGTCATCGGTTTTAATTCACATAAATTCCAATGTTAAATTTCTTCTTTTTGCGGGGCCTTTGATATGATATTTGCATGGGGGGTTTGGTTTCCTTCATGCTTGACATGATGGGATTTCAAACTCCATGCTTTGATATGATTTGAGAATGTCTTCCACTTGGTGTATACTCTGGAAAACTTCTGTTCTATTCCATGTGCCTAGAGAACCCGCCAGCCTTCACCCATCTTGTTTGTATCAAAAGAAACTGGAAACTCGGGTCGTCAATTTCCATTTGCTTTCTGATGCAGATGTGTGCATCGCAGCGGGGGGAAAACCCAGATCGAGGAGAAGACTAATCCATTGGTTCAAGAACCGCGCTTGCGAGAAGATGATAACATTGAAGTGAAACGTTACATTACTTGTTTTCCTTGCAGCTGCTTAGGAGGTACTACCTATGTATTAAGTGCAGAAGGAGTAGCTGTCAACTACAGTGTTGTAATTGAACACTCAAGAGACTCTGTTGAGCTTAAGTTCAGGTAGTTGTACAATGAGATATAGGTACCGGGAGATCCATAGATGTTCTGTCCAAGAAAAAGAAAGAGGGTTTAGGGTTTTAATATTGTTACAGACTTACAGTACAGAGTTGAAGTGTTCCAGGAAGGAAGCAAGTAATTGTTGGTTAATTCATGACACTGCTAATCAATTTTACTTTCAGAATCTTTTTTTTCCTTTATGATGTGAAATAAGTGAGAGTTGGGGAAAGGAGTGAGTCCTTCTGGTATGTATTGGATACATCAACCATAAATTGTGGCCTCACTCACATCACACCCACTTCATTGAACCTCCACCAGATTTTTCATTAATAGGATTCCCTCTCAAATTTGCAGCAATTTATATCAGTAGTTAGCAGTCTGCTGAAGCCCTCCATAAACAGGACATGTGCAACCAAAACCCAAGTAATTATGGCCTGAAGTTGGAAAGATGAAACTGAGAAAGCACTTCCCAGGCAATTCACACAGGAAGGAAACAGAGTTCAAAGTCTCTTCATCCATCCAACCATCATCCTTTTCAGACTTTTTCGTGGCCGATAAAGGGTTGCCATCAAGAGATCTTTATCACAAAACTAATGGCGCTGATCATTAATGGCTCTTCTCTAACTTTTCATTCTCGTGTACTTGTCTGTATTGAAGAGGAGTGGTTTGTGGGGGTGGTGGTCTCTCATGGATATGATATGAACACGCCTTTGGAAACTCAACAGAGCCATCCCCCAAACCCACATTTGTCATTTTCATTAGAGAAGCAGTAACACCAAAAGGACATAAGATTTCTATTCAGTCTCGGTCCAGCCAAACACTTCAAACACACACATGCCACTAGCAAACCCCTACCACAAAACATGGAAAATTGTCCATTTGTTTCGTGGATTCGATGGAGGATTTGGGTACTAAATCCCAACTTTTGTAGATTTGTGAGAAAGTTCATTGTTTGCTTGTCATTGTTACGGAATCGACTTTGCGGGTCCATGAATTTTAAGGATGCAAATACCATGATAAGAAGTTTGATTTGAGACGTGACCCTAAATTCATGATGACATTCAAGAAAAACCATTTCATCTAATCCAACAAGCAAACAATAGTTCTTTCAAATTCATAATACACTCAAAACTCTCGGTAATTCAGCGTGTTTCAAACCTAAAATTTAATGAATACCCTCATTTTTAAAATTGATGAAGGAAATCATCCCTTAGTTTTAGTGTTGGTCATTGGACCACAACACGAGTATACAAATGTTCCATATCACCCTCTCTGCTGCCATTGGAGGAGGTTAGAGGTATCATTATCAAAAGTATGGTGGAAAAGGCCCTTTAGGGTTTATGTTGAATCACTCCAAGTCCCACCAACGTTATATGGTTATAGGACCAGTGGTCTGAGGATGGGGATTCTCGTTCAAGGACCACCTCAATCTGGCTACTACTGGTTAATGGTGTCAATCAATATCTGGTTGACTTAACTTCATCGATGAAAATTGCAGTTGATACTAAAATTGTTTATCTGATTAACTATCATCTATAAACCAGACTAATTCATAATCAGTAAGTATCCAACATAATATCAATGCGAAAAAGTGCTAATAAGATCGTCGGTGAGAATCTTTTCGTAAATAAATCGAGGTAGATCTCGACTCGTCTATTAACGAAATGATTTCGAGTTTGATCAAACTCAACTCGACCCAATTCGACTCATATACTACTTTACTTATAAAATTCTCGGAACTTTGCCTAAAATGCTGAAGAAAACAGGTAACTTGTTTGGGAATATGCCAGTAAAGTTAAACTATAAGGTTAAGTAGTATTATTTTATTTCCCTGTATTTCTAGGAGAGCTAGGCAAAGCATTTGTTAGGTCACCATTGCAGCCAACCAGAAAGAATTTTGCATTTTTGCCATTAGAAGACTGATTAACCCGTCCACCAGTCCTTTTCATTGGGTTCTGAACTTCTTATGTACTAAAATCTAGACGACATGATTTTTCTCTTCTCTCGTTTCAGTCCCTTAATTATGGAAATAGCACACTGAGGTCCCTCAATTTTAGGAGTGCCTTTTCTCAATTTTAGTACAATGACTCAATTGTTTCATGTTTTTTTTGTTTCCCTTTACCACAGCTAAGATAGCTAGCAACACATGCAAGAACAGAACAAAACCTTTCTTGGCGAAACAAATGAAAGATGAAAAGCAAGAAGGAAACGCATTTACGTTTTGCACCGAATTTCGCAATGAGACCACAATTCAACTCCACGCTTACAAAATGGGTCCATACGTGAAACTTGAAAAGGAGACCATTAGGGTTGGCATTAGGTTTGATTTGATTATAACCAAAACTTTGGTCGGTTCTTGGTTAATCGTTTAGCATGATGTGTTTACGGTTAATCGTATTGTTAATATTAGTCGCTTAACCATAATACCATATAGTCGATTCTCGGTTATTTTATTGGTTAACCGAATAACTGTTAAACAAGTGTTTCAGCAAGTTTATACCAAATGAGCGATCGGTAACCTGACCAACAAAAGATCTCATATTTTCAATTATGCATTTTTGTAGTTTTTTTCCTAAAGACGTATGTATTTTTTTTACGTCGTTATCATTCAACAAAAAATAATTTAAAATATATGTCTATCCATAATCAACTCAATAACACCATTCTACCGTCAAATTTGATTAAAGAAGCAGACAATAATAAGAGATACAACAACAATAGCTTAACTCATAAACCCTACCAAATTACATGGAAACTTAAATGTTTTGATTGTTGTCGAGCTATTGTGCGTAAGTTCAAATTTCTATTGTGCTCCTTCTAAAAATTTTCCTTGAAATTATTCTCATTTGAACTTAAGTCACTATTACAAATAGGATAGGCAAGGGATATTGTAGGCTTTCAAACATCTCATTATTTCTGGCTTATGCTTACGGCTCATTGATGTCTATTATTTCCGGTCCTAACTATGAGGGTGGCCGTAATCAATAAGTCAGTTAACCGTATAGCCATTAGTTACTAACCGTTTAGTCGTCAGTTAGGAATCAGCTTAATTTGGCTATTAGAAATCGATCGTTTACTGTTTAATCGTTATTGATGTAACCGTTAACAGACCGGTTATACCGCTAGCAAGATAACGGTTTCGCCCTACAAACCACAGTGAGGGAGGTAGGATTTGAAATTAGGTGTATATTTTTTTAGTACATAAATATCTAATACATATTATTAAAAAATAATGATATCCAAATAATTGACTTGTAAAATTGTAATTTTCATAAAAAAATCATGACGTATTTTCGTCATCTGAAATAGGGTAAAATACCTTCATTGTTCTTGGAAAAATACGAGTAAATGAGAAGAAGAGACACTGATTAAGAATTTGATGTAATTAGGAAGTTAATTTATGATGTTATAAATATATATTATATAAATATAATCACAAGTAATAATTTGCAATACACTGAACTGATATGCTCTTACGTGAATTTAGAAGCGTTGCGATCCACTGGATATACATATCTGGGGTTTGATTATATTTTTACCCAAGATTAGGTTTGTGACGTTACACATATAAAATGCTCTGGCTCCGCCTATATTCATATGAGAGAGTGAGTGAGGTGAGCAAATTGTAAGAGACTGATATATCCATAATTAACATTCTTCCAATAACTTATCATCTCTTATATACATATTAGTGAAAAAAATTGAACACGATGATTATCTCAATATTCATACTCGATTCTTGTTGGATGTGTGTAAAAAAAGATAAAGTGTACTTAAGGATATCAGGGACAAAGTGATTAATTTTGACATGCAATCTAAGGGATAAATATAAGGGAGAGCTGTTGGAAGTTTTAATAGCTTTGAATGGGAGGCATTGAAGGGTTTTCACAGAAATTTGCAACAACAACTCTGTATGTATTTTAAATGATCGCCTTTAAACACAAAACCATCTTTGGACTCTCTTTTTTAGGTTACAGAAAATTAAAATGACTATTTCCTTTTCTGTTTCATTATTACTGCTTATATTAAAATCCAAGACTTAAAATCACAGTACCCAGAGAGACCAACAGATTACTCATAGTAAGCTGCTGCTGCTGCTGCATGCAGTAGTTGGGGGTAAAATTAAAGGAAACTTTTAATGTTCATAATGGCAAAGTAATTGAATTGGGTGATTCAGATTTTCCACAGAGAGGTTTATGATGGAAGGTGGAGTTTGGTTGGGGAGGATCTGTAAATAATGGTGGGTTTTAATGCATTTTTTATTAATGCACAATTTAAGTTGTTAGATCTCAATGTAATATATCAGCTGGTTATGGATATGGGAGCTAGCTAGCTACTTGCAGTAAACTACAGCAGTAATCAATAATGATCATCAAGAAGGATGGAATTATTATATATATATTTGTTTAATTGCTGAATTAAAGCTGCAGGAAGATTTAGAGGCTCATTAATTTGGAGGGATTATCAAATTCAATGCCCTTGAATGCATTTGAATGAACAACAGTGGATTCAAGTGAGCTGCAGCCAGCTCTTCTTGAAATGATTAAAAATACAAGTTTCAACCAAAAAAAAAAATATATATTAATAACCAAACTATTAAAGGCTTTTGAGTTTCAACTTTCAACTAGGGATTCCATTGTCCTTCCATGATATGGACTCCCTTTTCCCTGAATGCATTGACAATCCTCTGGAATGTATAGTTCTGGAAAGGTGATTGAATTTCCATTAGGAGAATAGAATGAAGATAATTTCTTATTTGTGTTTGTGTTTCGATAGGTGTATTTTAAATTTATGTATTTGAGAAACTTATAATTCAAATTCATTGTTTGAATACTCATTTGGAGTTTCAGATTTTATAGATTTTTATGATCAAAACATTCTAATATTCAGGGAAAACTACAATTTAGTACGGAATTCTTTTTGCTTACGATTTGGTACCTAATTTTAGTTTTTTTTAAACATGTCCTTAAATTTGGGTCGAAAAAATATTTTTCAGTACCTGTATACTTTTTACTTGTGTTATAATATCTAATCATTTTAAAATTTTACAAACAAGTCCTTTCTTATGTTATAAGAAATTTCAAATCACTAACTGTTCATATGTATTTGAAATTTAATAATAATGAAATAAATATCTATTTGAATTTCAACCCATGTAATATGTACATATATTCATAAAAAATAATATGTACAATGCAAATATCATATTCAGTTAGTATCAGAACAAACGGTTTAGTATTTGAATTTCTAAATCTCAAATACCAATTTGAAATTCTCCCAGCCAAACACACTCTTATATTGTTCATTACATGATAATTTTGAAGAA